AAGCCGTCTGTATTACCGACTAAATCATATAATTTTTGTATAATATATACTTTTTTCTCTTTTACAGATTCAAAAATCCTTTTCCAGGATTAAAATATACGCATTAATATTGTGAGATGGAGTTTATGTCAAGAACGACAAAAAATTTCGAAATTGATACATTTTTTAGTGTAACATGGAGTCTCACGCTGCCAAATCGTGACAATATTTGTTTGAGACAAAAGTTTTGTAACTTGTACTTACGAAATAGTAATTCACGCATTTTGCATAAACAAATAACGTCGAGTTCTTAGAATTAGACTTAGACGCTTTATCGTGACTAATTTGTTATACGAAAATTGACACAGCATGCGACTGAGTATATCATGGTGTCAGATATTGGTGTGGTATATAAAGATATGTCGATGCGCTGGAAAAACAGCGATCTCTGGTGACTTCGTTGGAGTTCTTCACTTTAAGATTCTCTTAACTTCTTATCTGTACATTGTTTGTTCCTTTCTTTGCTATCTTATACTTTTTCTTCAAAGTTTCCTCAAGCTTTTTTCAATTGTTTCTTTTCAACGATTACACGTAATACGATGAATAGAAGTATACAAGCACATGTTCAAAGATCTACATTTTTAAAGGAAATTATTCGCTACCCTTTGCGCTAGCGAAGGGAAGCCTGTTGATCGTTTTGTTACCCCTGAAGTTATAATGTTTCAAGAGCCTTGAGTCGTCATACGTGTAATTACGATTGATCGACTGATACGACTAACAATGGATGCTTCAGCTTTCGCCGACCCTTCTGCGATCGGTTGGTTCTCTTATTGTCATCACGCGATGTACAATCGTTGTACAAGTTTCATGCATAACACGTATCGGTTTACTCATATCGGTGGCAGGCAATAATTTAGGAAAGTATGTATCGTGGAAATTATCACAATTTCATGAGATTAATTATAACACGCATGTAACAAACATGTTTTTGAATCGAAATGGGATTCCAATTTATCATGCATGTGACTCGTTGCTTTTTGCAATTTTCAACAGTTCTTTTATTTTCATGACATTAGTTATTTTGGTAAAACGTCTTTATGTATTTATATCTTCAAGATAAATAATTTTTTAATAGGCACTTTGAGCATAATTTTAACATAGTATAGCTTTTTGAAGTTGGTCAGTCTGTAGCTGAATCGCCAGTAAGCTTATAATAAGACTAATAAAAGGAATGATTTAGAAAGACACATTGTCCTTCTTCAATCTAACAAAATATCGTGCAATGCAACAATATTATTTGTTTCAAAATTATTTCATTATCTTTAAATTATGCTTCCCATAAAATTAATTATGTCAAATAAATTAAGAGAATATTATAATCATAATTTCTTTTCCGTTTGATTCTTTATATTTTAAATCGTTCTGACGACAAAGATTTTACTCATTAATAAAATATTCATCTTTTCTACAACATATTTTATATTTTAATGTTCTTTTGTACTTCAAATTTGATGTTATTCAACTTAGCAGTAAGAGTTCTTTCTCAAATTGTTCGTAAATATAAAGGATGTCTTAAAACGTTCGCAGAATGCATTTTCCAGACTTTTTGTTTAAATACTTTCCGTTTTATACTGCTGTGTGTTTACGTTGCTTATGTGTTGTGCCTTTATGTTGTGCCTTTCTCACTACTTCAAATATTTTTGTGATATCGCGTAAAAAACTTTTTAATCGAGATTTTAGCAATAATGAACAGGGATTAGAGAAAATACATTACCTATTAAGTCATAAGTGCATGCATCTAATGCTTGTATATATGCTTATAATTTATGTCAATCTGTCACATATCTGCTTTAGTAAATATTTTAAGGCTCATCAACACTTCAGCTGCTGCTTTCTACGCTTTCGGAAGTCTGATTCTCTTTGCGGAGGATGAAAATGATTCTCATGAGAGCAAATTCGATCTTCCCCTCAAAATGAAATTACTTTCGAGATTAATGAATCTCCTTGAGATCATGGGAAGATCTAGGAGTTTCATTACTTTCTTTTCTTTGGTTTTAATGATCAATTCTCTGATCATTACATGGGCGAGTTTTAATTAGTTTTTTCGCGTTGCATTTAAAGATTATTTTCTAAATTTCTATGTTAAAAATGGATCACTTTAATCCAGTTTATGGATTCTTCTAAACAATCAAATTCATATAATATAAATTTTGATTCAAACCTTTTCAAAGAAAGCTATCAGAGTTTTCCGCTTTTACCAGAGATTCTCATTTTAAAGTATCTCATGTTTGTCCTATATATCAAAATTGATGCTGATACAGTTCATATGCAATTTAATTCTTTGGTTATTGATATCTCATAATTCATGACTATTATTATGATAAAATTTGTTTTACAATGATAATTATAAATTTTGAGTAATTATTTTAATTAAATAAATAAAAGTTATATTTTAAGTGTTTGTCATTATTATGTAGAGACACAATCATTATGTAATAATCGTTATAATATACAAGATGATATTTTAACATATTTCGTCACCCATTATGAGCAGGTAGAGTGAATCGAACTGAGTTGAAAAGTTCTCTACCATTTTGCAATTTTCGCAATAGTTAACAAGATATTAATTACTAAAAATTGTTAAATATTGGTCTTGAATTTTTTACTCAAATATTAAGTAATTTATAGTTTTATGAAATATTAATGCGGATTTTGCTTTGCTATTGCATAATCGATTTGTATTATTTATTTATACTCTCACAGGTTATTGATAACAATCAAAAAGCAATAATATTAATGAAAATCGATTTATTTTACATCAAAATAATTAATAATTTGTTTTATGTTTCCGCTGGAAAGTATCTTAGCGCAAAGATTACTAGTGTTATTACAAACTATTATATATTTTATTGAATTAATCTTACTTCTAAATGATTTAATTTGATAAATTGAATTTGATAAATTGCTGTGTTAACAGTTTTGTAAGCTTTTAACTTTATAAATTAAATTGCTGTTACATAAACGTATCTATATCAAATACATATATATAAATATTAGGTGTTGGAATTAATTCGTAGCGTTTTTTAATGAAAGAATGTTATTTATTTCACATGAGCATTAAAAAATACATTAATGAAAGTACTTCTCATCACTTGTAAAACGCTACGAATTAATTCCAACACCTAATATATATAAATACATATATAATAATATTACATACATAAATATATATAAATTTTTTCAGAAAAAAAAGTATTTGCTCTTGCTCCACATTTGTAAAACTCATTTGGTTCTCTTTTACAATAATAAATTGATTGCAGATGCTGTATACAAGTCCGTCTAGTATAATATAATGTCCAGTCAAAGTCGGATCTTTCTGTTTGTGATTGTGAGATAGCAAAAGAGATTGACGAAAAGTGATAGATCTTCCTCTGGAGAGATTCACTAGCATAAGATCTATTCTCATACATACGAAATGTTGCTCATGGATATTAAACGCGTCTCGAGTGAATATCAAAGCTGACTGTGCAAACAATTTATAATGCAAACGATTCAGCAGCCTTCGTAACTATGCACACATCCGATATGATACTTACAATGAAATGTGTCTTTTCGTATACAAGTTATAAAAGTTTCTGCGTCATGTATATCACTGTAATGCATTGAGAAATTATGAACTTGTATACGGATATCAGTGATTATATTTGCTCGTCGATTTGATGAAATAAGAAGACACAGAAAATTGCGGATCGCACGCGTAAAGATTACTTCTTAAAATATGTGTAATAATTATAGTTATCACACAGTAAAAAAAGTATTATAATATATATATATATATATATTAGGTGAGTAACTCAATAATATACACAAAAAATAATATATTATTTTTTATATAATAAGTAAAAATTATTTTCTGCAATAATTAGTTACTATCAAGTAACGTTAACGTGCTTCCAATATTAGCGAAGAGGAAATTACGAACACGGGTTAAACGTGAACGATATTATTGCAATATATTAAAAAGTAAGATGTTTGTCCTTTTATTTATAATATTTTTATACATATAATCCTTTTTGATTGACAAACTTTTGCAAGTAGCATAGTACGTTGACATTCATGTTTTGATATGTATATAGTATAATAGATTATCTCCTCTGATCTTTTTTAAGCAGCATGTGAACATGATCATATGATAATTTCATTATTTTTGTTTATAAAACAATAATGAACGATTTCTCTCAAGTCTCCTTTTAACAACACTCGACCCTTTTCTTTGCTTTTGTATTTCTCAAGTCTTTCAACGCGTCTGACATTGTTCACATGCGCTCAACGGATCTCTCATTTTTTTTTGTTAAATGAATAACTTACATCCCCCTCCTTGTAATTTTCAATACGTAACTTCGAATTATGCTCTTTCTTCTTTGTAATAACCCATAATCATTGTAAAAATGTAACGTACATTTCTTTTTTGTCGCATCAGGAACGGTAAGAGCGCGCGTAATTGCGATTGATTGATAACGATCGACGAAGGGGCAACATATTGTTGTCTGGCATCCGGAGTTATAGCTCGTTGAAACTCAATGCTTAATTTCCGAGTAGCGATGTTCGCACGATAATCGTTTTGCTTTTGATGAGAAAACGTCGACGTGGTCCGATCCCATGCGAGATAATGCGCGCAACTTCCATCAGTACTTCCGTTGAGATCGGACTTCGCTTTGTCGGAATCTGGCCGGGTTTGCAATACGGAACCATCACTTGGTTTGCATACATGATGAGCTTAGTATTTGCGCTGTACTTTCAGTATGTGTACATCTTCGATCACCTTGACATCAACAATATCTCGAATCTTGTCGATGCACTTAGCATTACGTTGGCTTATAGTCTCGGTTTTCTAAAGTTGATCTCTCTCTGGTTGAATCGCAGGTAGGAATAGTTCCTTAATGTAAAAACAACAAGGATGATATTCAATGCAAAATACGCAAGCGATTTTCTACAGGCTTTTTTATGATATCGTGTTAACGATGGAAGAAGATTGGAATAACAATAATATTTACGACAAATCGGTATCGTGTATTATGGCGAGTAATGCCAATTTGTCACGTCGTTGTTCGAACGTGTTGATTAGCATTAACGCTGCAGCCGCAATTTGCTACTCCGTGACCAATTTTCTACGTCTCTCCGATTTTAAGGAGGATCTGAACATTAGTTCGAGAGTGCTGCCTATAAAGATGAAATTTCCCTTCAAAATTGACGTGTCTCCTCTCTTTGAGCTTTTAGCGGTCGGTCAGATTCTTCATGTAGTGTCAATCGCCACTTTAGTTGGTATGATGAATTGCTTGATCATTACGCTGGTGAGTTTAATTTAACTGATCACGTGAATGATTAGTAGCTTTATAAGATTTATAATTAAAAATTAAACCTATGAGAAAATAAATCTTTACAAATTTTTAAGAAGCTTATTTACTATCATCATTATTAAATTGACAGTCAATGTAATTTGAAATATTAATATTGCAATTTATAATTGCGTTTCAAGTTCAACAAATCGAATCGACGCGTAATGTATAAAACTGAAAAATTTATTTGCAAAAAAAATTTGCATAGGATTATTATTCATCACTAAGATCCACAAAAATAAGATTATTCCCTTAATTAATTATCTTTTAATTTATTTCTTTATTTTTAAGATTTATTAGCCTCACTTTCTTCTCTACCTCTTCTTTCTCTTTTTGCTTGTGCTCCTGCTAGCATTAATTAAGCGTATAATTAAGATTGATTTTTGTCTTCTCTGATTTTGCATTTAAAATTTAAATACTTTGAAAAAGATTATTAATTTGCGGGAGTTCGTTTTGTGGAATGTATTAATAGTTACGTTTAGGTACTTCACGTGAGTGGACAGATCGATATTCTTCGCCGGGAATTACTGACAATTTGCGGCAACGGAATTTCTCAGCGTGATTCAATCGTCACAAGTGTCAGGCTTATGATTATCCGACATCAAAAGATAATAACCCTTTCGGATAATATCGAAGAGCTTTATTCCGACATCGCGCTGATGCAGTTTTTATCGAATACCGTGGTCATCTGCTGCATCGGTTTTACCATCATAGCCGTAAGTTGCATCGTTAATTAATAAAATTTATGGCATTAAATATTTTTTGGCATTATTTTGTAATTTTACATTAAATTTATTAAATATCTTTCGAGTTCTTTGCAATGTTTTTCTAGTCTCTTGTTAGGGATGGAGCCACGGTGGTGATTTTGAAATCCGCTATTTTTTACGTCGCCGTAACGTTAGAAGCTTTTATCTTTTGTTTCGCGGGAGAATACCTGAGCGCCAAGGTTTGCACAGTATTTTATCTTATATGTATGTGTAATATTCTATTTTATTCTTTTGAGGAGCCACTGGCCATCAATTTTCAAACTTTTCCCTTCCTGTGTAGAACAATTTATCAGGTTGATATAGTTTATCAGTTTAATATGTATTTACGTATATGTGTTTCTTGAATGTTCGAAAAATATGGGTCAAACTTGAAATTGAATTCAGGATATATTATGGAATTATTTGAAATAAATTCTCTGATCGGAATTTAATTATTCCCTAAATTTTTGTAGTATTTTTTAGAGAAAGTAACTCTGATCAGAATTCATTTCGAATAATTCTGTAACGTGCCCTGATAAATTGATAGACTTTTTGTATACCATTCTCTTTTTTAGAGCAAATCGGTTGGCGATGCAGTCTACGAAGCGCTATGGTATAACATGACACCTGCTGAGTGTCGGATTTTATTATTTGTGATATTAAGGTCGCAGAAGAGATTGACGATTACAGCTGGAAATATTATGGATCTTTCTTTAGAAGGATTTACGAATGTAAAAATTTTAAATTGCAAATATAACGAGATAAAACGTCAAATATAAAATATTTAATATTTCTTAAAATAGAAAATAATATATTTGATTTATTACGCGAACAAAATTTATCATTTCTCTTCAACTAGGTAATGAAAGCATCAGCTTCGTATATGTCAGTGTTGCATGCGATGTATTAAATGAGGTTAATGGATAACAATTACTTGTGCCAAGTGTATCCATCGTGATTACCGGTGTATTGGACAGTAGTAAGTGTAGCATTACATATAGTTGAAACAAAATCTGTTTTATTAAATATACGAAAAAGTGAATATAATATATAAAAAAATCTAGAAATAAATAAATTAATAAAAATAACATAATTAAAAAATAACATAAGTAAAAATAATGCAACTAATAATAAGAAATAATTGATTAAATAAAAATAAATTTTTTGAACAATATAATTGTAATAAATTGCTTCAGAAATTTTTAGGATTTTTAAAAATATGTAAAAAATATTTTCAATATTATTTCTCTCTATATCTTAATAAATTATTCACATTCTCTTTATATCGATAATAGAATTCAAGTTTTATTAAGTTTTAGACATTTATATTTATTACACTTCAGAAAATTGTGTACATTTTAAATTTCGATAAAACATAAATGCAAAGATTCCAGTTTTGTTTTTTCATTCATGTTGTTCACTTATTGTGATCTATGTACTTACTTGCTCACAGTAACAATAGGTGTACCGCTGCGAATAATTATTTTTTCTTTCGGTGTGTGTTCAATCCCAACAAGCAATTTAACTTTCCTCACCGTATCGCTCGCACGGTTCCTGAATTTATAAGGTTCGAGTAATCCCAGAAATAATGTACTATGTCCGCTTCTCCTGCTCGGTTTTTTTCTTTTATGTATCTATACCCGCCGACATTAAGGCTCTCTTCTCACATATAACTTTTCATATATATAGCATTACATTTAGGTAACTAAAAAAATTATCTAGATAAAGATAAAATAAATTACACATAAATTACATATCTAAGATAAAAGTGATTTTATTTTAAAATTATCTAAATAAAAGATAAAATTATAAGTTAGTTATCTAAATAATTTTTAGATAATGTAGTCTTTAAGCAAAATAATTTAGACTTATCAAAGACTTATTAAAACAAAAAAAAATTAAATTTGCTATGCAACATTATATATGTACTTCTTGTCAAATATATGTATAATGTTGCAAATTCAATTTTTTTTTTGATAAGCCTTTGTGAATGCAATTATCTTTACGGGTGTATATGAATGAATTTTAGCAATTTTTAATCTTACTGTGTTTTTAAAAATTGGAAAATTACCATTACGTCTGTTGCAGCAGTACTGAAAGAATTTACAGCTATCAATCAAATGATTTTCTTCATTTTGTCGCACTGTAATTTTCTTCTGTGTTATTCTTCTTGTGATCCTTTAAATCTTTAAAGCCTTCTTTATATTTTTTTATTCATAATGAAACAGTTTTTATGCTGTGTTCATTGCATAGTTCGTGCAATATTTGTCTTTTGTACTTTTATTAAAACTTACTCAATCGGCATACTGACTTATTCTTTTACTTTCATAGAAAAGAAGAAGAAATCAATATGTCCGATACGATCGGCTTCAGTGAGGATAAATCTTAAGATATAATTCGGTGATACGATTACTTTTTTATTTCTATTTTTCTTTCTTTCTTTTCATAGTAAGTATAGAATTATGTACAGCTAAAAAGAGAGAAGTCTGTTCTACAATAAATATACAGAAAAGAAAATATAATTTATAAAAAATGTAGAAATAAATAAATAAAGAATAACACAGCCAACTAATAAAAATAAACAAATAACTAAATAAAAATTAATCTTTTTGATAGAAAAATAGTAATAAATCTCTCCAGAGATCTCTTTTCGATTTTTAAAATGTGTATTTTTCGATTCTTAAAATGTGTAAAAAAACATTTCCAACATTATTTATTTTCTCTTTATATTTTAAATTAATTATATTCTTACTTTGCATTGATGAGAAAGTCCAAGTTTTACTAAATAATTTTATACGCTCATATTTCTTACAATTAAAAATATCATAAATAATTTAAATTTTGATATTTTAAATTTATGTACAAAGATTTCAATTTCATCTCTTTCAGGCTCTTTCTGTTCACCCACTGTCGTCCATGTACTACAGCTCGTAGTAGTAAGTATACCTCATGCGAATAATTATTTTTTCCCCTCGGTATGGATGTCCAATCCGGACGTAGCAATTTATGTAATTTCCCTTACTATGCCGCTCGTGGTCGTTTTCTACATTTTAACGATTTAAAGCTTTTTGATCTAACCGACCATTATTCTGCACGATCTCCCTAGAGTCTTGCGCTCGATCGCACACGGTTCCTGAATTTTTAAGGTTCAGGGTAATTCCGGAGACAATGCACTCTCTCTCTCTGCAACCCTTATTCATTTTTTCCCCTTGTTATCTATACCTGCACTTATCTTACCTGACTGTTGCAACCGACCTTATCTAGCAATTTTTCCGTCGCGATGGAAATATCTTATCGGTACTTTTTATTGGTTCATGTCGACGTCGAGGTGGGGGATTGATAGTGCGCAGCGATTCTTCCGTGTTCATCCGCGTTCATCCCCCGTGCTCATCCATGTGTTCAACATCGCTATACGAAGTACATGGTTGGATTTTCGATGAAATAGATAAGTTTCAAGGTGGTATCGATGTAAGGAGGCATCCCGGTCGAAAATACCATTCGAAGGCAGCACTCCGAAAATGAACTCGAAGACCGATTCCTTGAAGATCCTCGATGGCACTGTTAGTCGTTCAATCGAGATCGGTCTTCGCGTGATCGGCGTTTGGCCCAATTCGTCTTTCACGGTCCTTCGTCGCGCTTTTTGGATGATCACTTTTACGATGGCACAGACCTTTCAGTATCGATATTTCGTTATACACGTTCGTACGGACGATCTCTCGCATCTGATGGATGGTCTTAGCACTACGATGTCCTATAGCCTCCTATTATTGAAACTTACAATATTTTGGCTCAATCGACGGTAAGCTCCGCTTATCTAAATCATGATATATCGTAAACACAATCTTTCCATGCATTTGAGAATTGAGTTCAAGTTGATTTGATATTTTTTTTAAATAAAATGAAGAATTCTGTATACAAAATATCCCAGAAAGAGAGAGAGAGAGAGAGAGAGAGAGAGAGAGAGAGAGAGAGAGATCAAATAAAGACAGATTTTCGCAATTGTATAATATTTAATCGTTGTACATGCAACATGATTTAAAGTATGTAAAGAAAGTGAAAGATTGTTACATTCTTTTATAATTATAAGCGAGCTCAAAAGACAAGTCCCCAAGTTTCCCACAGGATATTCCACGACATTTTGACGATAATGTCCCAGGATCGGAGCGAATGCGTGACTGAATGGGCCATCTATTCAATGTCAAGGACAACCGATGTATCGCATCGGTCTTCCAACTTGATCATTGGCCTTTATTCGATGTCAGTGTTTATTTATGGTACTGGCGTACTCGTTGCTCACTCTGACGAGTCCGACGAACAACTTGCGGTGCATGCGCGAGAATTGTTTCTTAAGATGGAGCTACCCTTCGAGTCTAATGCCTCCCCTACGTACGAGCTCGTAATGATCACGCAGTTTTTCCACCAGCTCTCAGCAGCCACAATAGTCGGTGTAATTAATGCCTTAATTGTCTCACTGGTAAGTAAATATAAGCAAAAATGACGAAGTAATTAATGCCTTAATTGTCTCACTGGTAAGTAAATATAAGCTAAAATGAGAAAGAAAACAATAAGATAATTTATAAGGTCTAAGTTTTAAGGGTCAGTACAAATCTCATTGGTAATAAAATAATATTTAATTAACGTTGCTTTATGAGTTTAAGTCATTTTTAGAAGAAGAGATGTAAAAGAAAAATTTTTTTATTTTATACTTGTTAAAAAAAGAGAGAATAAGTAGGGCTGTGTTCCAAAATTTACTGCCAGTACTGAAAATCTATAGAGCACGTGACGTGAACTATAGATTTTCAGTGGGAGTAAATTTTAGGAACATAGTTTAGATTAGATTCTAAAGCATTTACAATTAAATTGCACTAAATGTACAATTATATAATGTAATGGAGATGCGCAATTTATATAAGTAGCTTATTGTTAGTAGAATAATATTATAAAATAATTTCAATTCGGGCGCCGCATTGTTCGAGATAACGAGTATTCTGTATTATCCGCGTGATTAATAACTTATTTCATTTACTTTATTTATGCGAAATGAAAAGCGTTCTGGTGAATCTGATCGATAAATGATAATATTGAATTTAAAATGTCTCCATATTTTTGCAATTAATTCCTCTATTCTTTTATAATAAATTTAATATGATATCGCCCAAAGCGATATATAATTTTTTTTATTAAAATGCTTATAAAATATCCTTAATAAAATAAATTTTTAATTAATATTATATTGTATATTTTTATATTATTAATATAATATTAATTATTAAATATAAGATTTTAATTCTAATATATAATAGATTTTGCTTATATGCTGTTACTTTCCTTATTGATAAATATATTCACAAGTTGTTTTCTACACTGAATCATGGCAATATCAAGAACATATTGCAGGGCGTTGACCGTTATTTTTAGATTCTTCACGTAGGTGGGCAAATCGATATAATGTGCCAAGGGTTGGTAGAAATCTCTTCAGACGATACATTCGACTTGCAAACCTCGACCATCAAAGCTCTAATACGTCGACATCAAAGAATTATCTCACTCTCAGCCGATATTGAGACTCTTTTTTCATATATAGCTCTGATGCAATTCCTGTGGAACACTTTGGTCATCTGCTGTCTCGGATTTCTAATTGTGACTGTGAGTGAAGCTTTATAAAGTCAAATATATTGCAATTAATACATACGCAGTAACATTAAATTATTGCCGATTATATGAAATATTTTTATTTTTAATTCCGTTTATTGATACGCAATAAAACAGAATATCTCATACAAAGGTATTCAAAATAAATCCGAAATAAATAATGGCATTCAAGTGTGGATTTTAGTATTTTTATTTTACTTGTTATTCAGAGCGTTTGATATTATTTCCGATTATGTTACAGTCGATCGGCGACACGCAAGGATCGACAATGTTGATTAAATCCCTCTTTTTTTACGTTGTTATCACTTTGGAGGCATTCATATTTTGTTATGCTGGAGAATATCTTAGTGACAAGGTCAGAACGATGCAGTTATAAATAATTATCTTCACGAATTCTTTCTATTTATAATTATAAATAAATAGCGCAACAAAGCTTGGTATAGTTATTATAAAAAAAATTTTATGTATCAATATATGCACATAATTTTTCTTATAATATTGTATATAATATTATGTCAAATTTTATATATTTATATATTTATGAGTATGTAATTTTTTGTCAGTTACAAATTTTATATAACTTTCTGCGTATGATTTTTTTATCATCATGTAGATTACGTTTTCTTTAATATTAAATCATTATTGAAAAAAATGTATTTCGAAAAATATATCAATGAAGATTATATAGAATAGTAATGTCGTACTTATGCGATATATTTTTTTTTGTCACAATTCTAAAACTTTAATTATTTAATTTAATATTATCACTCATTCAATTACAGGGCAGAATGATCGGCAATGCAGCGTACGAAACTAAGTGGTACAAATTAAATCCCACGCAGAGTCGTATTTTATTATTGCTAATTTTAAGATCACAAAGAAAGTTAACTATTACGATCGGAAAATTTATGGAGCTCTCTCTAGAACGTTTTACAACAGTAAGATGTGTTTTCAGAATTACATTTTTTCCCATACTTGACGTAGATCGTACACACCTTTAAAGGAAACACATTGTCAATTTTGAATTTAATTTATAAATTAGTAGGAGGCAATATATTTTTGTATATAAAAGATATATATTCTTGTCTTGTTTATTTTATTAAATTTTTATAACAGTTGTATCGATAAAAGTATAGCGTTTTACTAGCTGCCACATAAAATACGAGTTCTACCTTCTTTTTTCTAGATTATTAAGGCATCAGCGTCTTATGTATCCGTGCTGCATGCTATGTCTTGAAAGCCATGTATAGAAAAAGCAATACTTTTTGTATGTTTATGTAGCTATTGTGTTATAAGAAACGCGATATCTCGCGAATTCTAGTAACTCATTAGCTTTCCACGAACATGAATGCTCTAATGTAAAAATATATTAATATATCTCATTCAATTTAATAATAGCGTTGTATTTTTTATGGATAAACGTTTCTATGCGCTGCTCAACATCTTTTCCTTATCATTGCAAACTTTTACCTTCGCTTTCGATTTATCTTTATAAATTTACCTCCACAATTCCTGCTCTTTGTTTCTTGGTATTTAAAAGTTTTAAGTATTCTACGCACGCATTTGATACTCACGTGTATCCAGCGCACGTACATTCGTCTTGCATTTTTAATGCAAATAACGGACAGCGACTGAGTGATGTATATAGTAGGGTACGTTAGACTCTTTCGTGAGTACGTATGTGCATTTTTTTTGTAATTATTAAAGAATCATTCTATAATTTTTATTCATGACTTCTAAAATGAAAGAAAAAATATGATATGGAATAAGCAAAGAATAATTACTGTTTCGTGCACGATCAAGGTGGAATCACTCGAGAGTAGAATTTTACTGACAATGAATAGTAGTTTCACTGAGACTTCTCGTTATATCTGACAATTGACTTAAAACTTGGATTATGCCGAAGTCGAAAATTTCTTCTTTCAATCTATGACACTCTGAAATTCAACGTTTCTTCAATCTCCTTGTAGTTCCAGCGAAAAATATTTGAATTATACTGATTTCAATTTGGGATAAATAATCTCTTAGTAAATCGAGGCCTTCTATATTATAGTCTTACCTATAATGTAGATAGGGAATTAGTGATAACTTACCGTATTATCCGTTTGAAAAAATGTCTTTGAACTCGATGGAGAACGAGATAGATTCGACGAATATCGTGTGCTGGTCTGTGCAATACGGTCTTCGTATGATAGGTGTATGGCCGGGCACGTCGTGTGCAATTTTACTTAAAGTCCTCAGCATATCATCAATGATCGTATTCCAAATCTTTCAGTATCAACACGTAATTGTGCATTTTGAAGAGGAAGATTTAATGATTCTCATGGACGCATTAAGCGTAACTTTCGCTTATACCCTTTTGCTTATCAAAATGCTTATTTTTGCATTTAATTCTCGGTAAGGCTTCTTTAAAGCAATATATATTGAATACAGAATTAAATGTAATTTACAAATATTTCTCATATCTTCTATTTTAGTTGTCAAGTCATAAATCGGATTAAAAAGATATTTTTTATTTATATAAATTTATTAGTAATTTATGTAACATTGACATAACGACAGAATAAAGCCTTCTCTGTATTTTTATGCAATCATATTGGTCACAATTATATTGGTTACATTTATTCTTTAAACAATCCTTTATAGTCTGCTGAACGAAATTATAACATGCATGATTAAAGATTGGAAGGAATGCAATATTTCGGATGAGTACACAATGACCAGAATAGCTTATGTATCTCGTTGGGTCTCCAACATTATAATTTGCTCACACATGACGTCAGTTTTCCTCTACGCGATAGGCACAATAATGAAGATCAAAAATGAAAATCAAACCGATGTTCGAGAGCTGATCATCAAAATGGAGATACCTTTTAAAATTGAGAGCACATCAGTACACGTAGCTGTCCTTGTTAGTCAATTTATTCACCAGACGAGTGCGGCTGGCATGGTGGGTGTAATAAATTCCTTGCTAATAATACTGGTAAGTTTGAATATTTGTTCATGATTTGTCTATATTCCTGGAACTGAAAATAATTATGATGTAATTCTGAGACAAAAGGTTGTCAAAACATTTTATGTATATGTAATAAAAACAGACATAATAATATACAAATAATAATATAAAAATAATTTGTAAAATAAAATTATATAAGCGAAAAGTACATTTTTTATCTTGGTTTTATATGTTAATGTTTTACATACTAATTTTTTACCGATTCAGACCAAGAAAACGGACGCAAATAAATACAATCGTATTAATTCACACTTATTGAAATAAGCTGTTCTTTCGTGTTTGTTTGCATTCGTTGAATCCAGCGTTTGTCGAATCCAGATTGAAACATTACATTGGACTGAAAATACGCGACATTTATTTAGGTTCTTCACGTGTGTGGGCAGATTGATATAATACGGCAGAAATTGAGTGAAATTACGCAGAAGAACATCGAGCGGAAGAATATCGAGGGTGGGAATGAAAATGTCGTAAAAGATCTGATCGTTCGACATCAGCAAATTATCACCTTCTCCAAAAACATCGAGGATCTTTATTCCAATATTGCACTGGTACAATTTGTATCGAATACTTTGGTTATCTGTTGTCTAGGATTTCTTATCGTGATCGTAAGTATATTAAAATAATATTAATTTCTTTAAAATAAAATAAAGTAATATATGAAATTTCAGTCTATCGGTACCCCAGGCGGATCAATGATGTTAGTCAAGTCTGTGTTCTTTTATTTTGTTATGAGTTTAGAAGCATTTGTATATTGCTTTGTCGGACAACATCTGAGCACAAAAGTCCGTATAAAATGTATTATATTAAATATACAATATTTAGTACGATATTCTCTCTGATAAAGATATATGATTGTATTTTAGAGCGAAATGATCGGCGACTCGGTGTACGAATCATTTTGGTATGAATTGAGTCCTAGTCAAAATCGAGACATCTACATTATGATCATAAGATCCCAACAGCACTTGACGCTCACGATAGGAAAAGTTATGGAACTTTCTTTGAGACAATTTGCCAACGTAAGAATTTAGCAAAATTAATGAAAATCATAAAAACCTACATTTTTTTGCAGAAAGTTATTACGAATATATCTTAACAATAATTTTTTAATCGTTGAGTCCTAATGTGACATTCCTGTATGATAATTATAGTTTTTATCATGTTATAGATCCTTAAAGCTTCAGCGTCATACGTGTCGGTATTGCACGCAATGTATTGAGGTCTAAATATACTTTGTACATCGCTTATATCTTTGCATGCAGATCTCTATAGTACTTTTACACGATTGATCATTTTCCTATGCAGAGACTTGACGGGGTTTCGCATCAAGTGTATGCAAATAGAGGAACAAGAAAATTATTTACTCTCTGAAATATTGGTGATAATTGTACTTGATTTGGAGTGCATAAGAAAAAAGTTATAAATACAACATTGATTCTCTCGATCAATGTACTTTGCCAGATCTGATAAAATAAGAAAAAGCATTTTTTTTAAATAGAAATTTAATTTAATATTTTCAAATTAAGATTTTTATATTAATTAAGATTAAATTTTTACACTAATTTTTATACTAATTAAAATCAAATTTGAAAGATATTTATTTTTTTAATAATTTATTTCTATATCCATGTATAATTAATTTGAAACATATAAAAATATATGCTTAATATATATTTTCATAAAATAGATATGAAAGTACGTTAATGCATGTATACATGTAAAGATATTACAAGAGCTGTTATTCTTTTTACTCTATATTAAATTTTCTCAAATAAAATTAATTATATAATAAAATAATGTTTTGTGACTAAGAATTAAATATATACTTATTTAACGTATTTTTTAATAATATTGTATACGTTTTTATTTGCAATATAAGTATAAATTAATATAAATTTATTTGTCTTTTAAAAGTCTTGAGCTGCTGGTTAAAGATGAACTGATGTTATGTAAAAACTATTGTACAAAAATGTTGTTACAATATTATGAACTTATTTTCGTTACAAGATATCACTCATCGAGATGTCTTTTTCTTCATTACATGCAGAACCACTATATACTCTAGCTTACAGCATCTTTTCGAAATCAGCCGGAATAATACTAAATACTAATCTTCTCTCTGGTTTTTCCATCGCACCGAAGGTACGTCTTTGTTTCCTCCTTATAAATCCCCTCAATACGTTCCCCCAGTAGTATGTTTCAATTTCACAGTGAGCAGTTCTTGGAAGTTGTATTACCTTGTTCACCTCACTGCATTTGTAAGGAAAATGTGCATTTGTTGATCACTAATTCGATGAACGAAGAGGACGATCCTGTATATGTTCGTCATCCATTATAATTGCGCAGTATAAAATAAATATATATTTAATAAATATATATTTAAATATGTATTTAATTTTATATACATATATATTTTGATATTTTGATATTTTAAATCCTTTAATATTTGTACTTGATCATGCACTTCGGGCCAGCAATATTTTTCTGTTTATGAATATGATAAGCTCAACCATAACTTGTAGGATTTTATTTTCATATTTATGTTGTAAGCATCAGTTCGTCCTTGTTATTTATCAAGTTTTAATATTAAAAGGAGAAATTATACTTAGAAGCGCAAAACAGAACGCGCCCACTATCTTCTGTTTATAATTAACAAATATTAATTAATTGATAAGACAGAATTACATTCAGTTGTTGATCTGTGATAAAAATATTTTGATATGATTATAATCTTTGAAACATTTGTTACAACTAAACAGTTTTAATTCGATTCAATCAATACGTTCACATTATTCGATCGGATATATCATCTCTATCGTGTTATTTAAATTTTGCTGGATGATAATGTTGATCAAGTCTCTTAGTATTGGTATATAATGATGAACATTTGCTTTACATTTTTAATATAAATAACGTACAGTAACCGAGGGAAGAGAAGAGTATACAGAAAACTTTGCAGTCTTTACTTGAATTTTTTGTAATCACCGCAATTATTGAAACATCGACTTATAATTTTTCTTTATGACTTCTGAGATAAAAAGAAGTAAAATGTGAACAACTTTCATTGGTCGGCTACAATCAAGGTGGGGGTTACTCGAATACTGAATTAGATTATAGCATTCTAGCGTTAGACTTTTACAGTTTTATTGAAACCTCTCGAGTAATCATATCTAAAGACAAAGTCAAGTTAAGACTATTGACTATGTCGTGTTTGAGAATTTCCTTCGTCCATTAACTTTGAAATCGAACGTTTCGTCAGTATTGCAGTGTTTTAGTGAAAAATTTTAAGCTGTGTCATACTTATTATTTGAACTGTATATGCTATTACGTTAAGAAATTGATACTTTCTTCTGAATTATATACTCACTTATAATGTAGTCAGAGGAAAAAGGAAAATTAATTAGTGTCAGTGATAAACCACGTTGATGATCGTGCCATAAAACAAATTTATTTGATATCAATGAATAACGAAATAAAATCAGCGAATACCATATGTCGTTCCGTGGAATTCGGTCTTCGCATGATTGGTGTATGGCCGGATACATCGTGTGCAATTTTTCGCAGAGTATGTTGCATATCTTCGATGGCAATATTTCAGACCTTTCAATATTGGTACTTGATCATGCACTTCGGCGAGAGCAATATTTTCCTTCTCATGGATGTGATAAGCGCAACTCTGACTTATAGTCTTCTGTTTGTCAAACTGATTATTATCATATTCAACGTTCGGTAAGATTCTTACGATGTTGAGTATAAAATCAGTACGACCATCAAATAAGCGCTTAGATCCTTTATTCTAGATCTCAAGCTAATCGCAAGAAGAAAAAAATGTTCGATTTTTAATCTGTTTAAATTTTGTAAATTTGCATTGATTTATATATTTCTGGAGTAATATTTCGCAAATAGCTGCGATTTCACGTCGGTCAATATTTTTTTGAATATTTCGTTATAGTCTGCTGGATGATATGATAGTACATATGGTCGAGGATTGGAAAAAGCGTGATATTTCTGACGAATACATGATGAATAGAATGGCTTATGTCTCTCGCTGGTTTTCCAATTTGATAATTTGTTCGCACGCAGTATCGGTATTCTTCTATGCGATGGGCACTTTGTTGCCGCACAGAAACAGCAATCAAACTGATGCTCGAGAGCTCATTCTCAAGATGGAGTTACCTTTCGAGATCGAAACCACATCAGTATATCTTACCGTTCTCATTACGCAGTTCGTTCATCAGGTAAGCGCTGCCAGTATGTTGGCTGTGCTAAATTGCTTGCTGCTAACATTGGTAAGTTTGAATACCTTATCACGATTTTTCTAGAATTATAAAGAAACGCCAAGAAGATAATTTAAGGATTTAAGTGATCCTAAAAGTAATTAAACAAATTTATTATTGTATAAAATACATTATTAAATGAAGAATGCATTATGATTTTGTTTAAAAAATAAGTAGTTATATAAAATGATTAATAAATAAAGTATTTGTTTCATTTGCTAAGTTATTAAAAATATGTAATAGATATATTAAAAGGAAGAGAAAATAAAAACGCAATAATTATTAATTAATACATTAAAATTTTATTATTTAATTTTTTCATACATAGAAACTTAAATGTTAAATGATAAAAATTAAAAATTAAATTCATTCAATATTGAATATAGAACAAAAAAAGTATTTTTATTATACATACCTGATGTTAAATTAAATTTAATTATAACATTTAGGTTCTTCATGCATGTGGACAGATTGATATATTGCGGCAGAAACTGAGTGAAATTACACGGAAGAACACCAAGCAACATATGAACGATATCGCAAAAATACTGATTATTCGGCATCAAAAAATTATTTCCTTTTCCAAAAATATTGAGACTCTCTTCTCAAACATAGCTCTAATACAATTTGTGTCAATTACTTTAGTCCTCTGTTCCTTAGGATTTGTCATCGTGACCGTAAGTATACGTGAAATAATATAACTTGTTTAAAAAACGTAAGTTATTTAAAATTTTTAGTCTATTGGTGTTCCGGGTGGATCGCCTATGCTAGTAAAATCCGTGTTCTTTTACATTCTAGTCAATATGGAGGCATTTATAATTTGCTTTCTTGGAGAATATCTCAGTACTAAAGTCAGTAAATAATATGGCACATTTATAGAATATATGACATGTTTTACATTAAAACTTATTTTAGAGCAAAATGATTGGCGACGCAGCATATGAAGCGCTTTGGTACGAATTGAATCCAATTCAGAATCGAGATATTCTTTTTATAATTGTAAGGTCACAGAAGTTTTTGACGCTAACTATCGGAAAGGTCGCTGAACTTTCGCTAAAACAATTTGCTAATGTAAGGATTTAGTAAAGTAATAAAAGTAGTTGAGTAGAGGCATATTCGTGGCATAGAATTTTACGTTGATTGATGTTTTGACATGTCCGCGAGTGACGATCTCTAGTACTTCATCACAATATAAGTATTCGCGTACGATGGCCGTAATTGCTTTTATCATGTTATAGATCATGAAAGCCTCGGCGTCATATATGTCGGTGTTACACGCGATATATTGAAGCCTAAACATACTTTACTGCTCCGCTTATATCTTCGCGTGCAGAAGGATATAGTACTTTTACTACCGCCAACTGGTTATAATATGTGATTAGCAATTTTTCAGAAACTTGATGGGGTTTCACATCAGATGTATATAAAAGTAGACGAGTAGACGAGTATTGGTTTGCATATTAAAGTATTGTATTTTGTGATGAGCAATATGAAGTTGATCTTAGCCGATGTACTTTTTCAAAGCTAATAATAACAAAATAAAAGGATTTAGTTGAATATTTAATTTAATTATATTTAATATTACTTTAAATTAGTACTACTTTAAATTACAATGCGCGTGTTAAAAATAATTAAATATTAATACTAAAAATAATTAAATATATATTATTTTTTATATATATATAAATATATATATATATATATATAAATTTGCATATAAAAGGTATAATTAAACTATTTTAGATTTTGTTTCTTTTATTTCATACATATATATACAATATATTACATAATCGATTAATTAATTGCAAAACAAAATAATGATTGGTTTACTATCAAAAAACAAATATATGTATATTGATTTAATTTTATTATACAATCTATATATAATTTATTATAAAATTATTTTATGACGTACCATGATTGATTTTAGTAGGATTTTCCAACTTCTTCCAGCAAAAAGAGAACTCACTTAATATCCTTTATGATAAATGTAGTGTTCACATTTTGATTGTATTAAATTATAATGTTGAGCCACATGAAACTGAAATTTGTTAATGTCGACTGATACGTTGATAAATGTTTGCTTTACATTTTTAATGCAAATAACGAACAACGACCGATCAATGTACACGAGGGTGTATAGAAGTTCTTTATGGCTATCTCTCTGCCTGTTCTTTTTTTTCTTACAACTGCGATAATCATCGAAATGTCAGATTATTTATTCGCAATTTCTAAGATAAGAAAATACGGAAAAATATGGTAGTAACACAAGATAAGTATATTTTCTATTGATTTACAACTGGAGGGGAGAGGTTTACTTGAGTACTGAATTTATAGAATTTTACAGTTTCACTACGGCCTTTTGATCGACCACATCAATGTTAACTATAACTAAGCTGAAATAATTGATCTACATGCTGCAGTTAGAAATTTTAAAGCTCATGTTTTAACCAATAACATTATAAAATATAATATCGTGTTAGAATTTCGATGCTGCTTAAGCTGTGTGTGCTCATCATTTATTTTAAATAATTCGTTAAACAAATTTTGTCTTTTTTCTTGATTGAAAAGAAATTTATGTCTTTCTTTGACTATAATCTTACTGTAAGGTAGAGAAAAAGAAAAGAGTATTATAACACGTTGGCACTATCGTGCTGTGAAACTAATTTGCTCGGGGTCAATGAATAACGGTATAGAATCGGAGAATATAGTATGTCGTCCTATCAAGTTCGGACTTCGCCTAATCGGCGTATGGCCGGGCACGTCATATGCAATCTTGCGCAGAGTGTTCTGTATATCTTCAATGGCAGTGTTTCAGATTTTTCAATATTGGTACGTGATCTTGCACTTCGGAGAGGAAGATCTATTACTCCTTATGGACGTATTAAGCGCAACTATGGCTTACAGTCTTCTGCTAATCAAATTGATTATTTTTGCATTCAATGCTCGGTAAGCTTTTTCGTTACGACACTGAGTCATAAATACAATTCGCAAAATAAATATATTGGATTATATTCTTTAGATTCCAGGTTGTAAGTTAAAAGAAAAAATCTTGAATTTATATCACTTTTGCTATTAATTTATAATCATCTGACAATATCTCGCGAAATAAAGAAATTTTCGCGTTTTTGCGCACACACAACTCGGTCAATATTATATTTCTTTATAGTCTTTCCATTATAGTCTGCTGAACGAAATCATAGCACACACAGTTGTTGACTGGAAGGAGCGCGATGTTTACGACGAATACACGATGACTAGAATGGCGTACATCTCTCGTCGGTTCTCCAACTTCATAATTGCTTTGTACGCGCTTTCGGTGTTCCTTTATGCAACCGGTACTTTGTTGAGGTTTAAAAGTAATAATCAGACTGACACTCGAGAACTTCTCCTTAAAATGGAATTACCTTTTGAGATCAAGAGCACATCGGTGCATATAGTTGTCTTTGTTACACAATATGTTCATCAAACAAGCGCAGCCAGTATGGTGGGCGTGATGAATTCCTTGCTAATAACATTAGTAAGTTTGAATTTTTTCTATAATTTGTCGGTGTTCTGAAAGTCGTAAAAAAGAATAATGTGATATGTAGAAAAGAGAAATTTTCAAAATTGAACCTATACAAAATATTCTAAAATATAGTAAATATATCAAATATATAAATATCTTAATAATAATTTTTTCGTTTTATATTGAAAAAATTATGTTACTGAAGCAATGAAAATAAACTTTCACTGGGCAAAACATTAAATTGAACTGATACATATTGTGACGTTTAGGTTCTTCATGTGTGCGGACAAATTGACATTTTGCGACAAAAATTGTGTGAAATCACGCAAAAGGACATCAAGCGAGGTATAAACAACAGGATTATGAAAATGTTGATTATTCGGCATCAAAAGATTATCTCTTTTTCCAAGAATATCGAAGATTTTTTCTCAAATATCGCGCTAATACAATTTGTATCAAATACTATGGTTACATGTTCTCTAGGATTTCTTATTGTAATCGTAAGTATATGTAAAATAATCTAACTTATAATTTTGAAATATATGTTATTTAAAATTTTTAGTCTATGGGTGTCCCGGGTGGAATGCCTATGCTAATAAAGTCTGTGTTTTTTTACATTGTTATAAGCATGGAAGCATTCATATTTTGTTTCCTCGGAGAGCATCTCTGTACAAAAGTCAGTATTTCACGTAAAGCGAAGTGGATACAATACATTACTAAGATCATTTATTATATATTTCAGAGCCAAGAGATCGGCGATGCTATATATGAATTACTTTGGTACGAATTGAATCCGAATCAAAATCAAGACATTCTGATTTTGATGATAAGATCGCAGAAACACTTGACGCTCACGATTGGAAAAGTCATGGATCTTTCCCTCAAACAGTTTGCTAGCGTAAGAAATTAGTAATGTAATAGAAATGATTAAGAAAAGCCATATTTATAAAGCAACTGTTAATGTATGAATGTTTTGACATCTTAACAATGTTCTTTAGTCGCTTCGTCGTTTCTATGACGTTTACAATGGCAATAATAAAATGTTTATATCATTTTGCAGATGGTGAAAGCTTCGGCGTCGTATGTGTCGGTGTTGTACGCGATGTATTGAAGCTTCAATACACTGCATGTCGCTTATATCTTCGCGTGCAAAAGGTACTTTTACTACCATCAGTTTACATGGTTAACAATTTTCCTATTCAAAGAGGCGGAGTTTTACATCAAGTGTGTAGACAAGCGGGGTTACTAAAGCATCGATTTCCCGAGGCATCCATTCGCGATGCCTTTATTTAGCTTGCAGTGCATAAAGGCAGAGCTATAAATACATTGTTGATATTTTAGATCGATGTACTTTACCAAATCTGATAATAAAGTGATAATCAAAATAAACGCGTTTATATAAAAACAGTAAAGACGATTAATTTAATCAGTTACTAATATTTTCATATTAAGGACTAAAAATTGATTTAAAAAGTATTTAATACAACTAAATGAAACTATAAGAAATCAAACTTATTTATGTTAAAGGTGCAGTGTAGAAATAATAGATAGTAATATATTATTATAAAGTACTCACCTTGACTGTAAGAAAAAATCTCCCGATGAACTATATATTTTTCTTTGTCTGTATCGTCGTTCTTATAAACCGTTATGTTCCTGCTTGCACCGCCGTTGTCCAACTGCCTGAGCGCGAGCCCTCTTGCAAGCCACCTATAGCGCCAAATGTAATCTTTACACTGGTCTTCCTATCCCTACGATATGTCTTAGCTTTCCTCCCTCTCGATTCCCCACATTTTCTTCCCTCCAGCAGCAAAACATTTCAACCTCGCTGCAAGCAATTCGTCGAAGCTGTGCTCCATCTTTTCTTTATCTGTTGAATTTTTAAAGAGAACATATAGTTGCATTATAATCAAAAGTTCGGAAAGAAAGGGACTGCCTCTATTATCCATATTTCTAAAATTACAGTTGCAATCGCTCCATTATTTTTAAAATTATATAGTTGCATTTTTTTTTCTTTCTTTTTTTGTACGATGTAACAAAAATATTAAACAAGTTTTGATTAGCTAATGGTCGACGACACGGGTCGCGTTCGGCTATCAATCCGTGATCAAGTTTTAGCATAAATAAAGTTATTCTACAACGCGATATTCTGTAACGCGATCTGTTGCTCACGAGAAATATGGGGATGGCCACGCTCAGTCGATTGGTCAAGTTTGGCCTTCACGTTTACGGTATATGGCCATATGCATCGTTCACTGTGGTATTTAGATCGTACTGGATCATAATGCTAAGCATAGCCCAAGTCTTTCAATACCGATACGTAATAATGAACATTCATATGGACGATTTTTCTCAGTATATGGACGGAGTGAGCAGTGCAATGGCATCTACTCTACTTTATACTAAGCTCGTTATTCTTTGGACCCATCAACGGTAGGGCGTGCTTGTGAAAAAATATATAAATTATGTTACATCTCATTATCGGCATTTGCCGAAACTATTAGCAAAAAAATATTAAATAATCAATTTTTAATATTATTCAATCGATTTAATTAGAATTTGAGAATATACGCACGAGTGCGTATAATATTACAAGTTGCCTGTTCTTTTTGATATTTTAATAAAATATTCGCATCAAATTCGAAATTAATCAAAATCGAAAAAGTAGACATTTACACGAATGGTGCACTAATCTTCCATAGAATATTTTTCGATGTATTGCAAATGATGTCTACGGACTGGCAAGACTACACTTCAAACAGCTATATCTCACATATAATGACAGACACGGCGAATGTTGCACATCGCACCTCGAGATGGATCGTCGGTACGCAAGTGGTCGCTGTATTTTTATACATTGCCGGTGTATTCGCCGCTAATATAAACGATCCTGAAAGATTAGAGCCGTACGCGCGAGAGCTTATTCTGAAGATGGAGCTGCCGTTTAATATTAGTACAAATTTTATTTACATGACAGTACAATTCGTTCAAATTTATCATCTGCTTTTAGTTGCCTGTGGCATTACGATTATTAACTCACTTTTTGTCACTCTGGTAAGTTGAAATTGCACGATACATCTGCAAAATTGAAAGTGATTAGAAATTTTACATATATATATATATATATATATATATTCTTCTTGATATTTTTAATTCAGATCATATATTAATTAAGACTACGAATAAATTAAATTACATATAAACATATGATACGTGTAGTAACATCTTACGTTTTAGTAACATCTTATAAGTAAATGATTTGCTAAATTATATTTTTTATCATGTCTTTAAAAAAATTTAACTTTATAAAATATTTTTTTATTTTCCTGGAAAAGAGAGATTATAAACTTCATAGCTTTATAGCTTTATAGCTTTATAATCTCTCTTCATCAGAAAATGAAAAATTATTTTTTAAAATAAATCTTAGATACTTCATACCTGTGGTCAAATCGACATTCTTCGAGAATGGTTGTCAAAAGTTTTTTCCAAAAATTCGGATTCGATGAACAAAATTATTATGCGATCTTTGATCATGAAGCATCAGCGCATTATAGTATTTGCAGAAAATATTGAGACTCTTTATACGTATATTGCATTGATGATACTCTTATCAGATACATTGATTATATGTTGTTTAGGATTTATTATTGTCATCGTAAGTAATGTATTCAAAATAATGTTCCATTATTACAATATTAATATTGCGTAACGAGTCAAAAAGCTATTGATTACTAAAGATGTTTGAAATCATTATACGTGCGTGCGTGCGTGCGTGCGTGCGTGCGTGTGTGTGTGTGTGTGTGTGTGTGTGTGTGTGTGTATGCATGCAACTAGCATATATTAAATTATTATATATAAGCCCCTTAATTGACAAGTGGCATAAGTTCCCTTTCTTAATATTATATTAATTGTAAGTGGACTTTTGTGTAATAATTTTACAAAAAATTAAGAACAGAATGTAACTTTATTGTAAGAAAACAAATTGAAAAAATTGTATTTATGATAATATAGAACCTAAAATGTTAAAAAACTAGACTTAAATCACTATTCCAGATACTTTTACGATCACTTTATGATGTAAAATTGATTTTTATTTTTTATAAACATAAAAACAAAATACAAGTAAATTAAATTGATAGGTAAAATAAACATTCTTAATGCTTCTATAATAAACGCATTTTTCCTAATTTTGGACTTATGTCACTTGTCAACTAATGGGCTTATATATAAATATGGAAATTTCAGTCACTCGACACACCGAATGCCGCAGCGATTTTGGTGAAATCTGTATTATTCTACATCTCGATAAACCTCGAGGCATTCATATATTGCTTCTGTGGCGAATATCTCAGCGCCAAGGTTAGTATCAAGAGTAAAATGGCAGTTATTAATTCATAAATATCTCGGATTCTTCCCTTTTCAGAGCAAAATGATTGGAAATGCGATGTACAATTCTCTCTGGTACGATTTTCCAGCCAAAGAAGGTCGAACTATACTGTTTCTTATTCTGAGATCACAAAAAAGATTGACAATCACAAGCGGAAAAGTCGTCGACCTTTCTTTGGAGCGATTTACCAGTGTAAGATTTAACTTGCGATAATTTTTTTGCATTTGTCTATCTTATAATGCGAAACTCGAATATCTCCGTCTAACAGACTTTATATATACATATACAAAATGTCTGGAAAATAATGATAAATCTTTCGCATAGGGGCAGAATGGACTAAACTAAGAAGAAAAATCTTCTACCATTTTACGATTTTAGCAATAGTTAATAAGATATTAATTGTTAAAAATTAGTCTTCAATAATTTTTTACTCAAATACTATCAACTTTAGAAAAATTATAAGAAACAAAAATTGTTTATTTTCTTTTCATAAAGTTTTGAGAATTTTTTAAAAATTTTTTAATACTGTATTTTTTCATTTTGTTAAAAATAAAAAATGTAAAAAGTTGATAAAAAATTCTCAAAAAATTTTTCAAACTTTATAAAAAGAAAATAAATAATTTTTATCTCCTGCAGTTTTTCTGTAAAATTGATAGTATTTAAATAAAAAATTATTAAAGATCAATTTTCGACAATTTTTAGCAATTAATATCTTAGTAAATATTGCTAAAATCGTAAAATGATACAAGACTTTTTTTCTCAATTTAGTCCAATCTGACCCTATGCAAAAGATTTATCATTATTTTCTTGTATATACAAATATTATTTTTTAAAGGTTTTGATTAATATCGAAGTGAGTGTTTGTTCTTTTGTTATACAATTGTAACAATACACATTGAATTGAAATAAAATTCACTATTCTTATTTCTTCATATTAATTAAATAATAATTTTAACTGCAATTAGCATAACAATGTTCATAATTTCACATCTTATTATATTACACAAATTACTTTCTATAGCTTCCATTCGTTATTATATTATTATTTAATTATATTCCTTTTCATATTATTATATTGATTAATTTTTAACATTTCGTACATTTGCATATAATCAAACAATAATATTCCAGGTAGTAAAAGCATCGTTGTCATATATATCGGTGTTATTGGCAATGTACTGAAGATAAGTAATATGTATTGATATTATAATAATAATATGAAACACAATAGTGCGCAGAAAGTAGAATTTAGTAATATGAAAATAAATGTATAAGATTTATTCTAAATATTATTATTATTATTCCATTTTCATCTTATGATTTGCACTTTCTGTCGCATAAGGAAAAGATAATATAATAGTAAATTACAATGAAATATTTTTCTTGTTTTGACGGATACCATTCATGATACCATTAAGAAAAAGACAACCAGAGTTCTTTTTTCTAATGCTTTTTGTTTAGCTACGATAAAAAGACGGTATTGAAAATCTTTAGCAATTTCGGTTTCTCTTGGCACTTCCAGTTTGCATCTTCAAATCTTGAATTACTTTTCATAGTTGTGCACAATTTCGCATCTGACGTTGGCGTTTTATCAAAATGATTTTTTCTTTTTTTATTACATAATTTTTCTTCTTTACTACGTAATCTTAAATTTATATATCCATTTTATCAAAAAGGAATTTAAATTCAGCGTAAAATAGAAAGAGAGAGAAGTATTACAGTAGAAAATATTTTATAATATGTACATTTTGTTTGTAAAAACAGGATCACTCAAAACCGATAAACTTTGTACTTTTTTGTCAGACATTCTGGCATATACTGCCATCTTCATCGTGCTTCTTCCAATTTGCGACTATTTGCAATACGAGCTATAAGTTTCGCGCAAAGCTCGTTCCGGAGAAATATACCCTCGGAGATATATTTACGTCCTCCTCTGTTTATACATCCCCAACAGCGAAACTTTCGACCTGGTAGCGAGCAGTTCTTCTGAAAGCTGCGCTCCACCTTTCCTTTGCCTATTAAATTTTTAAAAAGAGTGTATAGCTGTATCATGATCGAAAGTTTGGAAGAAGGGGACTCTCCCTATATCGTCCACATATTCATTAAATAACAATTTTAGTTTGTTTCCTCTTTTTTTTGTACAATGTAACAGAAATATTTAATAAGTTATGATTGGTCAATGATCGATGACATCATGGGTTGCCTTCGGTTGTCAACGCGCGAACAAGATTTAGTATGAATAAAATTATTCGACGCATCGCAATTGATTTGTTCTGCATCGTCAAAGAGAAATATGGAGATGACTACGATTAGTCGATTGATTAAATTCGGTCTTCACATTTACGGTGTATGGCCATATGTACCATCCACTACAGTGTTCAGATTGTATTGGATCATAGTGCTAAGCACGGCCCAAGTCTTTCAGTACGGATACGTAATAATGAATATTTATATGGACGACTTCTCCGAGTACATGGACGGAGTGAGCAGTGCAATGACATCTTCTCTACTTTACATTAAACTTGTTATTCTTTGGACCAATCAACGGTAGGAAATACTTGCGAAATACTTGCGAAATAACATACGTAAATCCTGTTACCCGTCTCATTATTAATGATGATTAACATTTGCTGAAATTATCAAAAATATTGAATAACAGCTTTTGAGATTTTCATGTTTTCTTTAAAGAAGCTATATTATCACCGATAGCTGGTCATCTTCTTGTCTTGATACATCATTAAATGCTAATGTTCACGAAACGTAGCATAATAATTTATCAAGACACAGAAATATAACCCGCAAATTGCGTAGCCTTTTTATATCGAATAATAATCAATTGATTTCTCATTTTATTTAATTTATTTGTTTAAGATTTGTGAATATACATAAGTATATATATTAACGAATGATTGTTTTTTTTTGATATTTTAATGAAATATATTTTTGAAATTAATTCAATTTTGTAACAACCATGAAACAGATATTAACAGATTAAGGGTGCACCTTCCGTAGAATATTTTTTGATGTATTGCAAATGATGTCTGAGGATTGGCAAGTTCATACTTCGAATTGCTATAACTCACGCATAATGACGGATATGGCGAATGTTGCACGTCGCACCTCGAGATGGATTGTTGGCATGCAAATCGGCTCTGCAACTTTCTACAGTGTTGGCGTACTCGCCGCTAATGCAAATAGTCCCGAGAAATTAGAGCCGTATGCGCGAGAACTTATTCTGAAAATGGAGTTCCCATTCAACATTAGTACAGATTTTATTTACACAACTGTTCAAACGGTTCAATTTTATCACCTATTTTTAGTCGCCTGCGGTATTACGATTATTAACTCACTTCTCGTCACTTTGGTAAGTTCGAATTGCGATGCGCCTACTCAAAATTAAATACAAGGTAAATTATACACTTTTGATTTTTTTAATTAGAGATTTTATGTTAGATAAGATCGTGAGTAATTATTACGCATACAAATATTTTATTTTAATAACATTTTACAAGTATATAAAATAATTTGTTAAATTAGATTTGTCTTCGATATGTCTTTAAAAAATAATTTTTTTAATTTTAAAAAATAATTTCTCATGTTCCTGAGAAAAAGATTATAAAACTATAAATCTTAGATACTTCATATTTGCGGTCAAATAGACATTCTTCGAGAATGGTTGACAAAAATCTTTTCCAAAAATTCGGCGGATTCAATGGATGAAATTACAATGAAATCGTTAATTACAAAGCACCAGCGCATTATAATATTTGCAGATAATATCGAGACGCTTTACACGTATATCGCAATGATGATGCTCTTATCAGACACGATCATTATATGTTGTTTAGGATTTATTATAGCCACCGTAAGTATGTCTAAAATGACATTCGATTACCTGTTGTTGCGAATATCACATATCCAGTCGGAAAAAAATTGTAATAATTATTAATATTTAAGACGTATGAAACTATCATACACATGAATGTGTAGCTAATTCATATTAAATTATTATTATATTCATGTACGAAATTTTAGTCGCTTGACACACCCAACGCCGCAGCTATTTTGGTAAAATCTGTATTATTCTACATCTCAATGAACGTCGAGGCATTTATATACTGCTTCTGCGGTGAACATCTAAGCGCTAAGGTCAACATCAAGAGAAAAACGATAGTTTTATTAATTCACTGACATATCGAATGTATCTCTTATTTTTTCTTTTCAGAGCAAAATGATTGGAAGTGCGGCGTATGATTCTCTCTGGTACAATTTTCCAGCCAAAGAAAGTCGAACTGTACTCTTTCTTATTCTGAGATCGCAAAAAAGATTAACAATCACGAGTGGAAAAATCATCGACCTTTCTTTAGAACGATTCACCAGTGTAAGATTTTACTTGTATTATTTCTTTTAGCATTTGTCGATCTATGAAACTCGAATATTTCTAACATATCTTATTATAATTGTCTTATTATATATTTTTTTGAAGATTTTGATTAATATTAAAACAGAAATTTGCTCTCTTATATAAAAATAATATATATTTGTTCGAAATAGAATTCATATTCTTATTTCTTCGTGTTAATTAAATAATAATTTGAACTGTAGATATTGGCATAATGATGTTTACATCCTATTATATTATACATAATTATATATAGCTTTGTTATACTATTATTACTTAATTATAAATTTTGTTACATTATTGTATTATTTAATTTTTAAATATTACGTGTATATGTTATTATGATCATAAACAATAATATTTTAGGTAATAAAGGCATCATTGTCATATATGTCAGTGCTAATAGCAATGTATTCAAGATAAATAATATATTCGTAATTAATATGAATATGAAACAATAATGCCGAAAGTAGAATTTAGTAACAAAAATAAATGTATAAAATTTGTTTAAAACATTATTTCAGTTTTTTTTTATTTGTACTTTCTCTTGCCCAAGAAAGGTTTATTATAATCGTTAACACGAGGATGGTAGCATTGTCCAAAAATTATTATTAAAGCTTTTTTTGTTTTAATATTTTTTGAGATATTATTGAGATATTATGAAGACAAAATCAACTTAAGTTTCTTTTTCCTAGCTTTAGTTTGTTCATCTATGATGAAAAAGCGGTATTGAAAAACTTTCGCTTTCTCTTGACACTTTTAGTTCGTCTTGAATCCTCAAGTTTTGAATTACTTTTTATAACTGTCGTGCGCAACTTCGTATCCAACGTTCGTACTTCATCAAATTATATTTTTTCTTCTTTACTACATAATTTTGAATTTATACCTTCAGTTTGATCAGAAAGAAGTTTATACTCAATAATACGAAGTAGATATTACAGTAGGTAATATTTTATGACATAATACATTTTGACAATGGAAAAAGAATCACTAAAAATTGTACTACCATTTTCGTCTTATTTCTTTCAATTTTCTTCTACAACACGAACTGTATGCTTTGCACAAAACGTTCCGGAAAAACATCCCTAGCGATATGTTTATGTTCTCCTCCGTTTACACACCCCCAACAAAACTATTCAACTTCGCGTCGTGCGGTGAGTCATGGAAGCTGCACTCCCAAGGTTGTTGCATTTTTAAAAAAGACACGTAGTAGCATTGTCCGTAGTCAGAAACTTGACTATTCAAAGGGAGAAGTGGTACCTCTAACTTTTTTTACGTACTAAGCTGTGATCGTCGATGAAATCGTCGGACGTGGTCCGTCAAAGTTTGTGATATGTAGTGATAGAATATTTATCAAGTGTCTGATTGGTCGACGTTTAGCTATGGTTTTCTTGAAAGCTCCGCCTTCCCAGATTTTTCTGCGAGCAAAATTGTCTGGTGGCACATGTACAACTTCAGTGATTCTCGGTCCGTTTCTTGTTATTTACGGAAAACATGGAGATGAGTACGATCAGTCGCGCGGTAAAGATCTGTCTTCACGCTTACGGTATTTGGCCATATCTATCATCAACCGTTTTATTTCGATTATTTTGGATCGTGATGTATGGCACAGTCCAATTTTTTCAATATCATTACGTAGCGATACATTTTTACACTGATAGTTTCTCCGATTTTATGGATGGTGTAAGCAGTGCCATGACATACAGTCTATTATTCATCAGACTTGCTATTTTGTGGACGAATCAACAGTAAGATAAATCAACAGTATTATAAATTTAATTCTTTTCGTATTATAGCTTGTAAAATATTTAAATAATGAGTATTTCAATAATGAATTGTATGAATGATTAGAAAGATACAAGATTACGTATAAAATCTATTATCTTGTACAAATGATATAACTTGACAGATACGTGTAGATAATATTATTTTCTTATACCTTTCTTATACTTAGTTTACTAATTGTTTAATTTGTATAATAATATTTACTTACCTGAAAAATGTAAATAATGATATGAACTGACTATCTAATTCTTTTTAGAATATTCTCTGACATATTACAAATGATGGCCATGGATTGGAAGAACTGCGTTTTAACTGATTGCAGTCTGCGCATCACGATCAACAAAGCCAAACTCTCACACCGCATCTCAAATTGGATTATCGGTCTTCAACTGGTTGCGGTAACTTTGTACAGTTGCGGCGTGCTTGCTGTTAACATCGGTAATGTTCAAAGAATGAATGTGTCCGCGCGGGAACACATCTTGAAGTTGAAGCTGCCATTCCAGATTGATACGTTTCCTATTTACGTGTGCGTTACGATCCTCGAATTTTTTCATATAATGACGTGCGGTTGTGGAATTTCCACAGTAAATTCGCTCATCATTATTTTGGTAAGTTCATGACGCCATTTAATGATGTAGAATTGTAGTAATTGTAGCTCCTATCATTTAAGACAATATTTTAGATACTGCACATCGGTGGTCAAATTGATATCCTTTACGATTGGTTATTGAAAGTTTTTTCTAAAAATACGAATACCATGAACGGGATAACGATGAAAACATTGATAACAAAGCATCAACAGATAATCATGTTTTCGGAGAACATTGAAAACCTTTATACGTACATAGCGCTAATGCTGTTTGTTTTGGACATTATCATTATATGTTGTCTAGGATTCATTATTATCACCGTGAGTAACGTTGGAAAACATCACGTTAGAGATCACAAATTTTATTAAAATAGATTATTTAAAATAATTGCTTATATATCAATAAATTATTTTTAATTTTACGCGTATATATTATTCGGTATCATAAAACAAGACAGAATGTTTCTAAATTACTACGTTTGAGATTACAGTCAATTGGTACACCTGGCGGAGCAACAATTTTGGTGAGGTCAGTACTTTATTACATTACGATGAATCTCGAGGCATTTATATATTGTTTCGCCGGTGAATATTTGAATGCCAAGGTTAGCGCTGTAAGCCCTGTTAATGATTTTAATTAGTATACAAAAATCCAAAATTAATCTTTCCTTTCTAGAGCAAACTGATTGGAGATGCAGCTTACAATTCTCTTTGGTACGATATCACAATCGAAAACAAACGAATGATATTATATATGATCTTAAGATCACAAAAACGATTGACCATCACAATTGGAAAAATTATGGATCTCTCTTTAGAACGATTTGCTAGTGTAAGATTTCTACAATATAAATTTTAGAGACATTTAGCAGATCCGAGGTTTATATAAAATATATTAAAAAAACTTTCTTAATACTAAAATATTAACATTAAACTAAATATATTTTTTACGTAATTATTAAAAATTGAAAAAAAATACAATACAATTTTTGAAGTTAATTTTGTTTAACTGATTTATTATTAATATTTATAATGTCATGCATTTACACATACTTAATACGTTACAATCAATAATATTATAGATTGTGAAGGTATCGGCATCATATATTTCCGTCCTATTAGCGATGAATTAAATATTTGAAAAAACTGAGTATCGACATAATATTATGACAGTACCATGATAGTATTGAGGAGGAGCATAAAATAATAGTATAAAATCATAAAATGAATAATAAAGAATCTCAATAGTATCAAGAAAATTATTATTATTATTTTTATGTAGTATTTAAATAATATTGCAATTATTTCTAATATAATAAAAATTCTAATAAAATGAAATTTTTTTTCTTCCATTTCTTCTTATATTATTTTAGATTTTCGTAACGTTCAAGTAATATTATAATGCCTAAATAGACTTTATTGAAAAATTAACGTAAGCTTTTTGCATTTTCCAGTGTTTTTATAGCTTAGCATAAATATTATGCTTGTCGTTTGCGAGAAATCGTTGCTACTGCAATATAAAACTTTACTCAGTATTTCGTTCTTCGTCTTCTGCTTCTAGCTTACTTCATCATGATTATTGTACGTAACATATACATAATATGCACAAGAGTTTTATCCAAAATTGTGCGGTTTACGTATTTGTAGAGAATAAGTTGCAAACGCATTCGCAATTACCATATTTCGTAAGAAAAAATACTGGGAAAATAAAATCTTGGAAAAAGAAGCATTTCTTTCGCTTCCATCTCTCCTTTTTTCAAAAAATATTTCCTTATTCATGGAAATACAACTTAATAATAAAATTTTTATTGCGATCACTGAGGTTTTATGTCCTGTATACATTTGCATGTTACTGTCTGCCTTATCTGCTGTTGCATGAATTTTTAAAGAAAATAACGCACAATTCCACTATTTCTCCCGAGAATTTGAAAGGGAGAGAATTAACTACCCAGAAACTTCTTTTTTCTTATCGATAATACTGCACGCAATCTGTGCATGTAGCGATTAAAATATTTAATAAGTCATGGAGGGTTCCACCATTCGCGATCTCTTTCGATCTCTTAGTTTGTATAAAGAGACTATATCATACACGTCGTATAGATAATTAGATGTTATTTGTAACGCCGTTAAAAATTCTCTCATTGAAAGCTATACATGTATAAACAGTATAAAATAATAGAAAAATAATACCAGAAATATGAAAATAAAGAATACTGTCAGTCAAATAATAGAAATTTGTTTTCGAATTTTTGGCATTTAACCAAATATGTCGTGTATTTCGTTGTACAGATTATTCTGGATTGTATCGCTCACATTTGAACAAGTTGTTCAATACGTCATAAGGCATTTCCGTTTGATGAAATTGTTTGAGATAATAATTGTTTTGGATACAATGCCGTACGAAATTATTAATACGAGATTTTTAATTAAATTCATTGTCATTTTTGGTATAAACAACGCTGAGATATGCAGTAATATAGCTCCTAATACAATAATATGCACTATCAGTGAAAAATTTGTTTTGTAGATATTATTTAATTTAATTATATTTAACTGTACTATTCAGTCATATTAAGTTAGTGATCTCAATTTAACAATTACTGTGAAGTAAAATGAATTATTTAGTAAATTGCAAATATGAACAATGTATTTAATAAAGAAAAATTTAAAATGAATGGCGCGCGCTGTACTAATAAATTAATAACTGTATGTAAAAAGGAAAAACAGATACGCATCGATATAGTCACTGCACTGTACAATGATAAATTTTTCATCGATGGTTCGTATAACACTTCGTTCCAGTCGTTAAATTATGACCAATAAAAACCATTTGTAGAACTTTCAACAAGATATTAACAATAATGGCGATTGACTGGAAAAAATATTCTAACACGAAATTCAGTTCGTTTACGATATGCAGTGCTAAATTGTCGGAGTGTTTCGTTAACATAATGGTAATTCTACATTCGACAAGTGTAATTTTTTTTAGTAGCAGGGTTTTCCTAAAACACGCGGATGACATCAAAGCTTCCAATGTTTCTATATGATTGTTCATTCTTGAGATGAACTGTCGTTTGATACTAACCAAAGATTCTTATATGAATCAGTAATTATTCAATTTGTTAATTTGCTGTTGTGTGCCGACAGAAACTGTGTATTAAATGCTCTACTCATAAATCTGGTAAGTCTTGCAAATAATATTATTATAATTATTAATCTAAAAGTTTCTTGAAATTTTATTAACCAATCAATTGATGTCAATTGATGGAATGTACAATGGTTCATAGAAAGATTAATACTTTTTTTCGATTTATTTCTAAATGCAATCTGCTCTCATTGAAGAGATTGATTCATATTTATAAATATAATCATGTACTTTTAAGCTCTACAAGCAAGACTAAGTTCCGAATCCCATCGAAAAAAAGTGTTGCAACCTTTCTGTGAGCTACTGTACATATATGTGTTTATTGTCTATATGAAAAAATAATTAATGGACCATTTTTTTGAGTTATGCTGCTTCTTAAATTTCAAGATTTTGTGTAGCCTAAATTGAATTCAAGCATTAAAATATTTTTTTCGGCTTCCATTAAGTGACTGTTGAGAGAAATGTATATTTTAGACATTGCATATAGGCGGACAAATTCGACATTCTTCGAGAGGGTTTAAAAAAAATTAAAGTGTGTGCACGCGCACACATGCGTGCGCGCGCACATACACAAATACGCAGATAATACATGCACGCACATACAGATTGTAACTAAAAGGGGACAAACTTCGCTAGCGAGTTTCCATCTTATCTGATTCAGGACTAAACATGATCCAACTTCACCAATTTTTGGTATAGCCAGGATATAATCTCCCCAACATTCCGGATATAGCCCCATGTGACTTTTGGTTATTTCTAAGTTGAAGAAAAATCCTGAGATGACATAAATGAGCAGGTGAAATGCGATGCAGTTGTCAACACGATTGCACACTATTTTCGACTGAAAGCTGTTTTATCGCTCTGTGAGAGTACTCTTCAAGGTTCCCTCTAAATATAAAATATTTATTTTCCACAATGAAATATTTTTTATGACTAAAAAACTGTGAATAAGATAATAATTTGAACGTTAAAATTATGTAATATATTAAAAACTTATTTTAAAAAACATATCTGAAACTAATCAATTATTTCAATTATCACGTAGACTAAAAATAACACTCACCTAATAATTTCATTTGTGTTACACGAAAAACATACGTAAGTTTGACAGCCATACACGTACAGCGTATTTTTTCAAACTGATTGTATCTTCTAGACCTGTGAATCAACCTTAGGTTATCGCATAAGAAAGCGACTATTTTCTAAATCTAATACTAAATATTAAACTAAAATATTAAACTAATAAAATATATAAAATCATAAAAAATAAAAAATAAAAAATCTCTATAATAACGGTATTAAGGAAATTATAATTATTATTATTTTTGTACTTTGAATAATATTGCAATTATTTGTAATATAATCAAATAAATAAAATTATTTCTTTTTCCACTTCTTCTTCGTATAATCAAATATTATTTAAAATTTTTGTAAGGTTCAAGTGAGATTATAACGCCTAAACAGATTTTTCTGAAAAATTAACGTGAGCTTTTTGCATTTTACAATGTTTTTTACAACTTATAAGCTTTGCTTGTCATTTGCCAGGAACACCGCCACGCCATTACTACTAGAATATAAAAAACTTCACTCAGCATTTCGATCTTCGTCTTCTGCTTCTTCATAGTTTACTTTTTCATGATTATTGCGTGCAACATGTATCTGATACGCACAAAAGTTCATCCAAAATCGTGCGATTTACATATTTCAGGAGAACAAGTTGCGAATGCAGTTGTATTTACCATAATTTGCGAGGAGAAATATCTTTTGATATCGAGGAAATAAAATCTTCAAAAAAGAAACAGCACTTTCTTACGCTTCTTCTTTGTTCAAAAAATTCTCCTCCATTTACGGAAACACAAAACTTTTCTTATGGTTATCGAGGTTTAATGTCCTTTATATGTTTGCATGTTATTGTCTGTCTTGTCTGTTGCTGCTTGAATTTTTAAAGAAAATAACGCATTGCGCCATACTTTATTATTCTGCCCGAGAATTTGAGAGAGATAAGGTCGACTACCAGGAAACTTTTTTTTTATCGACAATACTGCACGCAATCTGTGCATGTTGCGATCAAAATATTTAATAAGCTTTACTTCATAGGAGGGTGCTACAACCCATGTATTTTTCTAAGAGCTTAGTATGTACAGAGACACTATATCATATACATCGAATAATTAATTAGATGTCATTCATAATATTGTTAAAAATTCCCTCGGAGGAATTAATACATGTAAACAGTGTAAAACAATAAGAAAATAATAATATCAGAAAAATGAAAATAAAGAATACTGTTAGTCAAGTGATAGAAATTTGGCTCAGAATTTTTGGCATTTGGCCGAATATGTCGTGTGTTTCTTTGTGTAGATTATTCTGGACTGTTTCGATCATAATCGAGCAAATTTTTCAATATCGATATATTCTAATGCGTTTCCATTTGATTGAGTTTTCCGAGATAATGCATATTTTGGGTTCAACAATGACGTATACAATATTTTTAATTAAACTTGTTATTTTCTGGTATAAACAGCGGTGAGATATGCAACAGTGAAGCTCATAATAATATACACTATTAGTGAAAAATTTGTTTCAAATATTATTTATTTTAATTATATTTAACTATGTCAGACACATTAAATTAGTGATCTAACTGTATTTAATAGTTACTCTGACAAGTAAAATGAACTATTTAGCAATTACAAACTTGAACAATATAATAAAGCAAAATTTAAAATAAATTGCTGTAATAAATTAATTACTATATACGTATGCAAAAAAAGAAAAATAAAAGCATCGATGAAGTTATTGTACAACGATAAACTTTTCATCGATGGTTTGCTCTTCATTGCGACCATTGTCACGGTTATGAACAATATAAATCATTTCTAGAACTTTCAACAAGATATTAACAATGATGACGATCGACTGGGAAAAATATTCTGGCACAAAATTCAGTATGTTCGCGACATGCAATGCCAAACTGTCGCAACGCTTCGCTAACATGACGGTAATTCTTTATTCGACAGCTGTAATATTTTTTAGTAGCAAGATTTTCGTAAAGCACGTGGATGACAGCAACGCTTCCAACATATCCACACGGTTGCTCATTCTAGAGATGGATCTACCATTTGACGCTAATCGAAGATTTGTATATGAATCAGTCATAATTACTCAATTTATTAATTTGCTATTGTGTGCCGACGCAAACTGTTTAATAAATGCTCTTCTCATAAATCTGGTAAGTTTTGCAGGACGTAAAAAATATATTATCATTGTCAGTAGAAGACAATTTCTTGAATTTTATCAACCAATCAATTGATGTCAATTGGAATATATGGATCAGAAAGATGCAATACTTTTTTTTCGATTGATTTCTAAATGCAATCTGCTTTTGCCGGACAGATTGGTTCTTTCTTATGTGTCTAATTGTTTACGTTCAAATGCTCTATAAACAAGACTGAGTTCCAAAACTTATTGAAAAAAAAAATGTTACAACTTTTTTTTGACTCATTGTACATATATGTATTTATTGTCTATATGATCTATTAAAAATAGATTATCTATTAAAAATAGTTAATCGATAATTTTAACTTATGCTGTTTCTTAAATTTTGAAGATTTTAAGATTTTGTGTAACCTAAATTGAATGCAAGCATTAAAATATTTTTTTACGACTATCATGAAGTGACTGTTGAGAAGAATATATATTTTAGATATTACATATAGGCGGACAAATCGATATTCTTCGAGAGGGATTAAAGGAAATTTTTCCGAAGAATGGAAAGTGTAATCCGAGTCATTTTACGATAAAGAAGATAATTAAGAAGCATCAGAAGATCATCACATTTTCAGAGCACATCGAAGATCTATACACGTATATTGTGATGGTGCTGTTTGTATCAGATACTCTGATTATCTGCTGCTTAGGTTTTACAATTGTTGCGGTAAGCAACTTCGATTAACTTCCTGATAAACAAAAGATATATAAATCAATGTTGAATTTATGTAGATTTGGAAAGCACTAATTCGTACCCTTAATTATTCATTACTTTCTCACTTTTCCATTGCTCTTAGGACGTTTCTTAATGTTCCAGTCGATCGGTCAATCCAATGCTACGAAAAGTATAATCAGAAACTTCTTATTTTATGTCGTTATAAATGTGGAAGCGTTTGTATATTGTTTCGCTGGAGAATATTTGAGCGCTAAGGTTAGATAATGGGACCAATATATCATTCACGACAAATAGCAGAATATTATGTAATTGATTTTGTATATAAAAGCTACAAGATCCATATATTATTTAATAGAGCAAAAGTATTGGAGATGCTGCGTACGCTTCCCTCTGGTATAAGTCAGATTCTAGAGACAGTCGAATTATATTGTCCTTGATAATGAGGTCGCAAAATCAATTAACTATTACAATAGGAAAGATAATGAATTTGTCTTTGGGACAATATAGTACTGTAAGTTTATCTCAGCAATCTTATCTTGTTATCTTGTTTTATATATAAAACTTTTTAGCACAGATTTTATGCTAACAATTATTTTTAAAAAATCTGTTTTAAATAATGAACATAAATTGCTGCAATATTTATATTGTAATAAATTATTAAAAGAAATGAAGTAACAAGTAGAATTTAAATATTTTTATTTTCTACATTAATATTTTTTAATAATTACAATAATACTCTTACAGATTGTAAAAGCTTCAGCTTCTTATATATCGGTCCTCCTTGCAATGTATTGAGAGAGGCGAAACTACATTCTATTAAAAACAATTTTTTAATTACTTTTAACAATTGATAGTTTGATTAGTAGCAATAAAATTTACACATAAATTAAAAATAACAAAAGTGACGTTCTATTATTATTTGTTACCTGTTACATTTTTTTCTATGTCGTACATTTACATGCATGTATACATCATTCACTTGCACGCATGTGTGTGTGTTTTATACAGAAGTTAGAATAAGCTTGGGCAGTCAGACAATAGATCGATAATGTCGGGATACGTGTTTATTAAATGTGGTCAAACAATGCAACCCCGTACTATTTTTACTTTTGCCTGGCATTGTTCGCTCCACTTTCCAAGTACCTACAATTTTTCTTTTATATTTATTAAAATCGAAGGCTACGAGTCACAACTAGATAATAATTGTTGGAAATCAATCTAAAATTTAATAACTAAAAAGTATATAAGAATAATCATAAAATATAGATACATAAAAATATATGTTTCAACGAATCATCTTTAGTGTACAATCTTTAAAAAAACAAATAAACTTTGCGATTTGGTTATCGACATAAATATCGCAATTTAGTAACGTCCTCTTCAAATTTTATGTGCTGTTATGAAGATTTAATCATTCTTCTTAGAATATTTCACATCCTATGTCTCTAATGTTCTATATTCTTCTCCATACTTCAATTGATATAGACAGTAATGCAATTTTATGATTAAAAAACATTTTTCGTATCTACATTAAATTAATTGTTGACTAAGCAATTGCATAATTTAAATTTATCACAATTATAACTTATTTGTACCTTTATGTGAATTCCAAATTGCAAAAAGTTTATAATCCACAAAGATATTAATATAGAATAAATCATGTTAAGAACGTTACTTTTTAAAGATTGAACCAATGATTATGGAATAGAAGCAAATTATGTCGAAATCAATCTTTTATTATAAGATGGTTCATTATCTAATATCTTTACCTTATGCCATTTAAAATTATGATCATAGTGATTGGAAATTAGTTCTTTTATTAATTTCATTTGCATGTTCATGTATTCTAGTTTTCAATTTTTTTTTAATCTGGTTCATATATGTCAACTTTGCCACACGGAACAACAAAAAAATTGCGTCTAATGATCGGTACTTTACAGTATCTTATGCTAGAACCATCTCCGAATCTTTTATTCCGATCGCATTTGGCATTAATAGAAGGACAGCCTTTATCATCCCTAATCTTTTACAAAAGTACATCACTCGTGGTAAAGATGTTTTAGATTATGTGTCGCATCAAGAAGTAGTATATAAGATCCCTTGTCATGACTGTGACATTGTGATGCAATTGTGAGCCAGACTAAAAGAAAATTGAAAACTAGAATGTTGTGTCGTATCGCTTGGTGAGAGTACTTCTTAAGATCCCCACTAAATATAGAATATTTATTTTCCATGATAAAATAATTTTTATAACTAAAAAACTGTGAATAAGATAGTAATTTGAACGTTAAAATTATGCAATATACTATTGACTTATTTTAAAAAACATATCTGATGCTTATCAATTATTACGTAGACTAAAATCAACACTTATCTAATAACTTCATTTGTACTATACAAAAAACATACGTGTGTTTGGCCGAGTATAAATTAGTGTATTCAGCATAGTCTGTGCTGTTTTGCGCAAGCACAGACATATGCCTTTTGGTTATTAAGATATTTGCACGTGGTACAATTCACCTCCAGACTTGACTAATCCCTCTGTGTGTGTGTGTGTGTGTGTGTGTGTGTGTGTGTGTGTGTGTGTGTGTGTGTGGTATGCGTGTGTATCTTACATTATTTTTTTATGTATATTGATTAATAAGAAATAATATTTGTTACAATATTCACATTATTATATATTATTAAGATAAGTCAAATGTTAAACAGAACATTTTATTTACAAATATTGAATTTAAATATTGAATTTCTACATATATTGACATTTTATAATGATCAAATATTATTCTTCAGATTATAAAAGCTTTAGTCTCCTATATATCCGTCCTACTTGCAATGTATTGAAGCGGAATTATATTTCATTTACATTGACTGTTAACAGTTGTTGTTAATAGTTTTTGTTTAATTATGAAAAAATGTGTAGATACATTAATAATGAAAAACCATTGCAGAATTACTTATCATTTTCTTTCATCTATTGTATACTTGTATGCGTGTAAGCATTGATTGAGAGTAAGAATTATACATTCGAGAATGTCAGGTGATGGATCGATAACCTAAGATACGCAATGTTTATTAAATAATGTCGAACAATATAGTCCTCGTTGCGTTTCCCTCCCGCACCTAATATTGTTCGCACTTTGTTATTCTTGACAATTTTATTAAATTTTATTTTTATTTTCCAACGGTACTCCATTTGCATATATTGCGTGTACTTGTTGGAGCGTGTACGCATGGCGGTTTGCATTTTTAAGTTTCATAATTTGGTACTATCATGGTATAACTGTCCTGTCATAAATAAAATAGAGAAAGAAGGAGAGAAAACGGACAAAAAGGGAAAAAAATCTTTATACTTGCTGTTTCTTTTTACAATACTATAATCGTAGCTTTAATGGAGTACTTATGTTTGGTATCAAAAGTATATTTAAATTCCATATGATAAATCCCTCCCAATTGCATGTAATTTTTAATAAGCTTCGCGACAAGCTTCTTGATCAAACATACAGAGCCTGCAAACACTTGATATTTTATATCATAAATAAGCTTTTTTCAATTATAAAAATGTCCGTTATGAGCACAGTGAATTTATCATAGAATTCGTCTTCTTTGACATCTGACAAGACGTGCCGTGTATCTACGTATTATTGTACTTTGCATGTATCGTCCCGGTTTGTCATATTAATTGTAGTTCAAAATTGTCATTAAGCTTACTTTTTACTATTGCACAATTGTATCAATAAGCTGTGGATTTGATTAATAATTCGAACAACTCTTTAACGTCCGTTTCTTCAAATTGTTTATATCATCTAGGTTTATCAATGGTGAATCAACCTTAGGTTATCGCATAAGAAAGCGACTATTTTCTAAATCTAGTACTAAATATTAAAGTAAAATATTAAACTAAAGTATGTAAAATCATAAAAAATAAAAAAAAATCTCTGTAGTAACAGTATTAAAGAAATTATAATTATTGTTATTTTTGTATAGTTCTTTGAATAATATAACAATTATTTCTAATATAATTAAATAAAATTATTTCTTTTTTCATTTCTTCGTATAATCAAATATTACTTAGAATTTTTGTAACATTCAAGTGAAATTATAATGCCTAAACAGTCTTTTCTGAAAAATTAATGTGAGCTCTTTGCATTCTACAGTCTTTTTACAACTTATAAGCTTTGCTTATCATTTACCAGGAACGCCACCGCGACATCGCTACTGGAATATAAAAGCAGCATTTCGATTTTCTGCTTCTAGTTTATTTTTTCATGATTATTGCGTGCAACATGTATCTGATATGCACAAGAGTTTCATCCAAAATCGCGATTTACATATTTCAGGAGAACAAGTTGCGAACGCAGTCGTATCATAATTTGCGAGGAAAAATATCTTTTGATATCGAGGAAATAAAATCTTCGAAAGAAAAATGTCTCTCTCTTATGTTTCTTTTTTCTTCAAAAAATTCTCCCCCATTTAAGGAAACAAAACTTTTCTTATGCCTCTCTTCATCGAGGTTTAATGTCCTTTGCATGTGCTATCTGTCCTGTCTGATGTTGCTTGAATTTTTAAAGAAAATAATGCATTGCGCCATACTTTACTGTTTCGTCCGAGAATTTGAAAGAGATAAGGTCGACTACCCAGAAACTTCTTTTTTTCTTATCGACAATGCACACACCGCTTGTGCAAGTTACGATCAAAATATTTAATAAGCTTTGCTTCATAGGAGGGTACTACCATTTATGTTTTTCTTCTAAGCTTTCAGTATGTACAGAGACACTACATCATACACATCGAATAATTAATTAGGTGTCATTTGTAACATAGTTAAAAATTTCCTCAGACTCAATACGTGTAAACAGTGTAAAATACAATAATAGGAAAATAATAATATCAAAAATATGAAAATAAAGAATACTGTCAGCAAAGTGATAGAAATTTGGCTTCGAATTTTTGGCATTTGGCCGAATATGTCGTGTGTTTCTTTGTGTAGACTATTCTGGAGTGTCTCGATTATAATCGAGCAAATTTTTCAATATCGATATATCCTAATGCGTTCTCATTTAATTGAGTTTTCCGAGTTAATGCATATTTTGGGTTCAGCAATGACATATACGATATTTTTAATTAAACTTGTCATTTTTTGGTGTAAACAGCGGTAAGATACGCAGCAGTGAAGCTCATAGTAATATGCACTATCAGTGAAAAATTTGTTTTAAATATATTATTTAATATTATTTATTTTATTCATATTTAACTAACAAGTAAGTTATTCAGACACATTAAGTTAGTGATCTAACTCTATTTAACAATTACTCTGACAAATAAATTAAACTATTTAGCAATTGCAAATATGAACAATGTAATAAAGCAAAATTTAAAATAAATTGCTGTAATAAATTAATTACTATATGCAAAAGAGAAATAAAAGCAGACACACATCGATAAAGTCATTGTACAACGATAAATTTTTCATCGATACGCATAATGCTTCATTGCGGCCGTTGTCATGATTATGACCAATCAAAATCATTTTTAGAACTTTCAACAGGATATTAACAATGATGACGGTCGACTGGGAAAAATATTCTGGCACAAAATTTAGTGTGTTCGCGACATGCAATGCCAAATTGTCGCAACGCTTCGCTAACATAACGGTAATTCTTTATTCGACAACTATAATTTTTTTTAGTAGCAAAATTTTCATAAAGCACGTGGATGACAGCAACGCTTCCAACATGTCCACACGGTTGCTTATTCTAGAGATGGATCTACCATTTGACGCTAATCGAAGATTTGTATATGAATCAGTCATAATTGCTCAATTTGTTAATT